CTTGGCTTTGCCAGTTTGCCCCTAGGTAGCTAGCGGGGTCATTTCAAACAGTATTTGAGAACCAAAAAAAAAAAAAAACTGGATCACTTACAGGTAACTCCCACTGGTAAGGATGAGGAAAATCTGAGGGTAATACACTGAGAGTAACACACTGCGAGATGAAAAAAGGATCATGGCTGAATCCCGTTTACACTCGTGGAGTTCGCTTCCTTGGTTATTCCTTTCTGGCCCCCCCTGGTCGTAATTCCCCACCCTTTTTGGTGTCAGCTGTGGCTTGAATCTGAGTTGGAATCCAGTCCCTTGGGCTTGGGGGGGCTTTGTCTGTTTGTTTGTTTGTTTGTTTGTATTGTTGGGTCTAGGATTCCCCTGGTGCTAATGCTGCTCCCTGTGCAGAGTATGTGCTGCTGCTGCTGCTCTCGCTGCTGCTGCTGCCTCTGGGCTCCTGCCTGTCATGTCTCAGTGGTTGGAAGTTGTTACAGTGGGTTCTCGTGTTGGAATGAGGATGGTTTAAGGGATTTGGATGGCAGAAAGTGCCTCGCTCTCTCTCTCTCTCCCTCTCTCTGTAACTCTCCTGAGACTCGGGGCTGCCATTGGGCAGTCAGTCACTGCAATCCGCCTACTTTTTTTCGCTCTCTCTCTCGCTCGCTCTCGCTCTCTCGCTTTTTTTTTTTTTTTAAAGGGGAGGATGACAATGGAAAGACACTGATCTAGCCCGGGCTGCAATGAAGCCGTGCTCCCTGGCCGAGCCCTCTCTGTACGTCCCGCTCTGCGAGCAATCCTCGCCCGCTTCATGGTGCATTTTTAAAGTGCTGCCCCTGCGCTCGGCGGGCTGCTCGCCGCGGGCGTGTGGGCTGGCACCCTTCGGGTCGCCTTGGGAGACATCCTAAAGGGAGCTGGCAGCTCCCAGCCCCAGTCTCGGTTAATGGCTTTATTATGGGAGGCTGCCCCAGTTCCCCTGAAGGGCTCCGCGCTCGGCCGGGGCTTTGGCTGCGGTTGCGCCTGGTGTTGAAAAATTAAGCTCTGGTTTCAGGGGGGTCCTTTCCAAGAAAGAAAGAAAAAAAAACAAAAAGACGTATATGTTGTCGTAGCCCGCCGGAGTGAGAAATAAAGACCTATGCACACGCGTAGCTTCCGTGTGGTGGCACGTGGGGCGTGCGCCTCCTCGCGGTGGGGAGCCTCTCCCGGGTCCCCGCACCGCGCTGCTCTCGGGGGCAGAGCCGCTTTCTCTTCTCTTTTCTCTTTTTCTCTCCCTCTTTTTATTTTCTTTTTCCCTAGAAGACGCAAAGCTGAAGAGACGTTTCCCTGAAGGTTAGTTCTCACTCCTGTCTGTGCCTTTCCTCCGCTCCGGGCGGTTGCCGCCCCGGGGCCGCGGTGAGGGGCCGGGCGGGAGGCGCTGGCCCGGGGCCGCTTCACCCAGTGGAGCCGCAAACGATGCCGCAGCGAAACCGGGTAGGAGAGATTCGCTCTTCCTCTTCGCCTCGTTGCGTATTTCAGGTTTTTTTGTT